TAAACTTAATTTTAATAGTATTTTTTCATTTGTTAAAAAGTGTTTTTGTTGACGTTTTTAAATTATTTCGTGTGCCTACGCGCTCAATTGATTTAATCTTGATCATGTTGGGGCGTCGACAGCAGGTTGATAAGCATGTCCATCACATGCTTTCCAAGGCCCAAACGTTAAAAGAAGTATATTTAACTTGTTTATTATTTCTTTAATTAGAAAAAACTCTGCGGATATCAAATCTCTAAACTTTATTTTGATGTGGGTGATTTTGCGAAGGCTAAAGAGTAGGCTAAAGTTTCTCTTTACACGTAGATATTTGTCTGGTTTTATACCCTTGCGAAAGGATTTTGCTCCCGCTTTTCAACTCTTGGGGCATATTGAAGAAGCTTTTCTCAACAAGATACCTGCATTAGAAGCCTACAAAAAGGCTCATAAATTAGATTTGTCAAACCACAGTTTAATTCTTAAAAGTAATTGACTTACATTCACTATTTTTAAGTATGCGAGCTATACCTTTCAATGGACACTGAAAAGCTTGAAAATCTTGAAGTAACCTTTAATCTATTTTAACATGCCTTAGTCTTGGGTCGAACTTGGCGAAAAGTACTTCCCTGGGAACAAAATTGTTTTCGCCCTTAAAGTATTTCCTAGATTATTATTTAACCCTGTAGGAAAAATTCCTCCGCAATGATAAGAGTATAGATCCATCTAAGCTTGCCTCAATACTTGAGAAGGAATTAGTATGTCCATAGGTCTATTTATCTTTAGATTAACAATCCTTCTGATGTTGAACTCCGCATCCGTTATATCAAATTCCTCATCGAAATCGATAAGACATTCGAAGCATACAAGCACTGCGTTAAATGCATTGAAGAAGGTAGACATTACGATATGGGTTGCTGGTTTAGCTGTGTGATTTTCGTAATGAAGGTGAGTATATTCTTTTCCACATTTAAATTTAGCATTTTTCGAAAAAATCGTTTCCTGAATGCAATGAATCAGGATTGGATCAGAGTCACTTTTATCAATTGCTTGCTTTGCTTCACTTAATACGGTTAACCTCGGCCTCATCCTGTCCTGCAGATATGGCTGCAAATCTGCAGGGCGTTGATGAGCTCGTTGAGATATCTTCTAAACTTGATTATATGGATTCAGCTCCTTTTAAGTGGCTCTGCAATGAAGCTAGGGCCTGGCTCTTTTTCTATTTTGGAGTCTACATGATACGCCGCATTTCGAAGGTATGTTCTCTCTGCTAAATTTAATCTTCTCTGCTTGCACTCATCATCTACTATTTTAGAATCGTCATCTATTGACTGGAGGTTCTTTTACTGTTTATGAGCTTATGCGGAATGTTGCTTGTGTTCCAGTGTGCTCGGTCTCGCAATTCTCTTTTGCTGGCAAAACCGCTAGTCTCACTCGCATTGATGGCATATTACTCAGGTTTCAGGCTGGCTGTCTTTTAAGGAATATGTCTATATCTGGATTAGATGCCCCAGTGTTGAGCGATCAAACAAAATCTGATTCTAATATCTTGAATTCGGACTCCCGAGATAAAGTTCCTCTCTGGTGTCATGTGCTTGCTAAATGTTTAGCAGATCATAAGGCTGTAAATGGAATAGGCAATTTACCAAAAGCATTCCTCAAATTAGACGAGACGGATGTTGTCTATTCCTTCAGTGATGAGCTGCTTGAAAAACAAGCTCAGGGTAAACTATTCGTATTCTATTGATTTTATAAATTTGATTATTGTAATTAATTCACAAATAATTTTTAATCTTGTGAATCAGAAATTTTATCTGC